TTTTCGCCGGACATCCGCAGAGATATTCGTGGACGTCAAATTCGTCCCTGGAGGACGAGTGTTAGCTGCCTCACTAGGCGGGCTACGAAAATCTCAGCGCCAATTTAATCAAGAAGCGACCCTTCAACCCACCAAGTTTCTGCATATTTTGCAATCCGTTGGGAGGGTATTCTCTGTTCTTGTTTGCATGTTGTAGTTACGAAGATCCGATAAATGTTCCTAGCTCGCAGTGGCGAGAAATGAGAAGGAAAGAAGGTAGGGGAGGGGAAGAAGACAAGAGACAATCCATAGTCCCCCCACAAGAGTGCGTGTCCCCCGTGGCGCAGTGGTAAAGCACTCGCCCGGCACTTCCCGAGCGCTTTGGCCTGGGTTCTTATTCTGGCCGCGGAGGATTGACGGCATGCCCATCCTTAACTGTAGCCTCTGTTCACCCAGCAGTGAATAGGTACCTGGTTGTTAAACGATTTGGTGGATCGTATTCCAGGGGAAAATTGGGATAAAGGACCTGCCCGAAACGCTATGAGTGTTAGTGACTTTACAAGAATGTAAGAACTTTTGTAAATATTAATAAAAAAAGTAAAGAGCAGTAAGAGAAGAGAGGCAAAACTCTCTTTGCAGAAGGCGCCTCCCTCTAAGAGAGTGGCGGAGGTGGCGGTGTCGGGAGCATTGTTGTAACTGTCTGCCAGGTGTCACATCCCAGCCCATATTTTTGTAAAAGGTATTTCAGGGGAAAACATTTCTCTGCCGCGGAGAACTGGTGTGAGGGAGTGTTGTAAAAGTTGTTTAGAAGGGGAAGGGAGTTGACGGCGTGACTTCCAGATCCACAGCTGGTGCACAGATAAGGTGATGACAATGTGTAGTTAGACGTGCGGGACCAAGTTGTTTGCAACGTGACAACCACATTTATTCGGTCATTCGCCTTGGCTATGGGTCTATACTAGAGGGGGGGGGGGAGGTCATATTAGCTCTGTTCTATTAAAATTTGATGGCGGTATATCTATGTTGAGTTGGGTCCATAGGGTGTTGTCTCTTCTTGTTGAGCTTGTTATCCGTCACTGCGGACTCGTCCTCATGACTTGTGGTGTATATGAACTTTAATTATACTTATCTTGATGACCCGGGGAGCATGTGACCTCTGACAGTGCTGATGACCCGGGGAGCATGTGACCTCTGACAGTGCTGATGACCCGGGGAGCATGTGACCTCTGACAGTCCTGATGACCCGGGGAGCATGTGACCTCTGACAGTCCTGATGACCCGGGGAGCATGTGACCTCTGACAGTGCTGATGACCCGGGGAGCATGTGACCTCTGACAGTGCTGATGACCCGGGGAGCATGTGACCTCTGACAGTGCTGATGACCCGGGGAGCATGTGACCTCTGACAGTCCTGATGACCCGGGGAGCATGTGACCTCTGACAGTCCTGATGACCCGGGGAGCATGTGACCTCTGACAGTCCTGATGACCCAGGGAGCATGTGACCTCTGACAGTGCTGATGACCCGGGGAGCATGTGACCTCTGACAGTGCTGATGACCCGGGGAGCATGTGACCTCTGACAGTCCTGATGACCCGGGGAGCATGTGACCTCTGACAGTCCTGATGACCCGGGGAGCATGTGACCTCTGACAGTCCTGATGACCCGGGGAGCATGTGACCTCTGACAGTCCTGATGACCCGAGGAGCATGTGACCTCTGACAGTCCTGATGACCCGGGGAGCATGTGACCTCTGACAGTGCTGATGACCCGGGGAGCATGTGACCTCTGACAGTCCTGATGACCCGGGGAGCATGTGACCTCTGACAGTGCTGATGACCCGGGGAGCATGTGACCTCTGACAGTCCTGATGACCCGGGGAGCATGTGACCTCTGACAGTCCTGATGACCCGGGGAGCATGTGACCTCTGACAGTCCTGATGACCCGGGGAGCATGTGACCTCTGACAGTCCTGATGACCCAGGGAGCATGTGACCTCTGACAGTCCTGATGACCCAGGGAGCATGTGACCTCTGACAGTCCTGATGACCCGGGGAGCATGTGACCTCTGACAGTCCTGATGACCCGGGGAGCATGTGACCTCTGACAGTCCTGATGACCCGGGGAGCATGTGACCTCTGACAGTGCTGATGACCCGGGGAGCATGTGACCTCTGACAGTCCTGATGACCCAGGGAGCATGTGACCTCTGACAGTCCTGATGATCCGGGGAGCATGTGACCTCTGACAGTCCTGATGACCCAGGGAGCATGTGACCTCTGACAGTCCTGATGACCCGGGGAGCATGTGACCTCTGACAGTCCTGATGACCCGGGGAGCATGTGACCTCTGACAGTCCTGATGACCCTGGGAGCATGTGACCTCTGACAGTCCTGATGACCCGGGGAGCATGTGACTACCTATTGTCGTCTGGGTAATCCTGTTAGTGTATGACCTGCGACTCGTGTCGCCTTGATGAGCCTGGTAGTGTGTGATCATTGTATGTTGTGGCCATAATTGTTTGGCTCAAGAGAAGGGTGCTGGCAGCTTATCCCTGCTGTCATACCGGTCAATACTCAGGTGGAGTAAATTCACTTGACGGAAACTTAAACAAAGGATCTGTGCAAGCTGAGCGTCGCATTTCACTAATTGAACTCGTATTGTTTACACTTCTCAGAACTACCTATCTAATCTTTTATGTTTATCTGATATATGTATTGTGGACACTTTCACTCACTTCCGGTCGTTGTGGTGGTGAAAGTTGAAAGAAAATGGCAGGTCACTTGTGTCGTTGAAGAAAGAACGTACAATCTTTTCGTGGCGCAGCGGTAACACATTCGTCCCACGCTTCGCGACGAAATAGGCTGAGGTTCGTATCTAGGCCCGGAAGCATTAACTAGGTGTCACTCCTTAACTGTAGCCTCTGTTCACCCAGCAGTGAATGGGTCTCTGGTTGTTAAACGATTGGCTGGTCGTCTTCCAGGGGAAACTAGCGAGTAACACTTGCCATAAGTTATGGGAAGGGAAAGTTGTCAGCCTGCTTACAGGAGTCGGATGTCATCGGTTCCTGTACCCACCTGTGTGTACAGAAATAATTGAAAATGAGCACTAAGAGACGCTTGTAAAGAAACACGTGTCAATGATGTTAGGTCTTATATGTGGCATAGACCGAGCGTCTCCTTCAAGAGACTTTTTCACAACCCGAATTTCTTACACATTTACTTAAGGGGGAAATGGAGACATTTTATGTTAATTTTAACTGAAATGCACCTGACGTGTAAATCCAGTGAAAGAGCGATTGTATTGTATTATATCGTGAGCCTAGAAGCCTTTATATCCTTAACATACCTGGATTGTACCTGGATGGTCTGGGAGTTCCTTCACTCCCAAAGCCCGACCCGTGGCCAGGCTCGACTTGAGAGAGCTGGACACCATAGATTCGTGTACTTAAAACTGGTTTAGATAGTTAACCTACCATTTTTGTGAGATGTATACAAGAGTTGTTACATAATAATACCATGTCCCTTGATGGGCGGTACGGACGGATAGCAAAGTTGGTGATCTTTGTGATCACACTTCACTGACAGACTTGCAGGCCATCTAGAGCAGCCTCACGCCCGCCCCAGGCACCACCACAGCTAAACAAGGACACGTGTATCATGGTCACGTGACGTGATAGACCGGCACGACTCTGTGCAACATTGCGTGCGTGTGAGTACTCCCCTAGTTGTGCTTGCGGGGGTTGAGCTCTGGCTCTTTGGTCCCGCCTCTCAACTGTCAATCAACTTGTGTATAGATTCCTGAGCCTACTGGGCTCTATCATATATACATGTGAAACTGTGTATGGAGTCAGCCTCCACCACATCACTTCCTAAAGCATTCTATTTGTTAACCACTCTGACACTAAAACAAATTTTATAATATCTCTGTGGGTCATTTAGGCACTCAATTTCCACCTGTGTCCTCTAGTGCGTGTGCCTCTTGTGTTAAATAGTCTGTCTTTATCTACCCTATCAATTCCTTTGAAAACTGATAGAAAACTATTCAGCTCCCGTTCCAGTGAATGTGGGTGAAGAAAAATAATGAATAAAAAACTTCATTGGAGATTAGCGTCGCCTGGTGTGTGATGTTACAGGTTAGAGGTGTACAAGTTGTGGTCCCACAGTTTATATTACTGTTTTACAGTATAGTGGTGTGTATGTTCTAGTGTTACAGGTCCATGGTTGCACTTTTACAGGCAAATATATGCTGTAGTCTTAAAAATTAGTGGTCTATGTTGAAGGTTAGTGGTATATTATATATATATATATATATATATATATATATATATATATATATATATATATATATATATATAAACGGATTATTTACGTATATGGTGAACTGTTACAGTTTAGTGGTGCATGTGATAGTCTTAGGTGGCTATACTTCATGACACACTGGTGCAGGATTGGGTGCATCAGTTCAGATGTTTACAATAATAACAGTCGCTGAGGTGGACACCACAGACACAACAGCGAAATATAAATCAAGTAATAAACAAAAGTTTCATGTTGGTTATATCCTACTGAACATTGGGTTAAGCGTAACACTTACACATCACTGAACTACCAATATACAGAATACATATATTAACTGGCAGTTAAGTTGTGTACTTATACATTATTCATAAGGATAAGAATTAAAAGGCATTTGTATTCCTAAAGTGAAAGTTCTTGTATCGGGGAAGTAGTGGAGACGAGTTTTAGTTTTTTTTTATTGCATTGGGATGGTAGTCAGCATGGTAATGCTTGCTCGCTGTCCCCTTTCCCGCCGCACTGGCTTGTTATCTGTATGGGCCACACAAGTCGCGGCCACAAGCGGCCAATACTTGCCACTACACACGCTTACACTGGCTCCTTTGTGTTGTGCTCGCTTACACTCCTGCTTCAGTGGTGTGGCCACTGTCCTTCACTGTTGTGTGGTCACTGTCCTTCACTGTGGTGTGGACACACTCCTTCACTGTGGTGTGGCCACACACTCCTTCACTGTGGTGTGGCCACACACTCCTTCACTGTGGTGTGGCCACTCTCCTTCACTGTGGTGTGGCCACTCTCCTTCACTGTGGTGTGGCCACTCTCCTTCACTGTGGTGTGGCCACTCTCCTTCACTGTGGTGTGGCCACTCTCCTTCACTGTGGTGTGGCCACTCTCCTTCACTGTGGTGTGGCCACTCTCCTTCACTGTGGTGTGGCCACTCTCCTTCACTGTGGTGTGGCCACTCTCCTTCACTGTGGTGTGGCCACTCTCCTTCACTGTGGTGTGGCCACTCTCCACTGTGGTGTGGCCACTCTCCACTGTGGTGTGGCCACTCTCCTTCACCGTGGTGTGGCCACTCTCCTTCACCGTGGTGTGGCCACTCTCCTTCACCGTGGTGTGGCCACTCTCCTTCACTGTGGTGTGGCCACTCTCCTTCACTGTGGTGTGGCCACTCTCCTTCACTGTGGTGTGGCCACTGTCCTTCACTGTGATGTGGCCAATGTCCTTCACTGTTGTGTGGCCACACTCCTTCACTGTGGTGTGGCCACACTCCTTCACTGTGGTGTGGCCACTGTCCTTCACTGTTGTGTGGCCACACTCCTTCACTGTGGTGTGGCCACACTCCTTCACTCTGGTGTGGCCACACTCCTTCACTGTGGTGTGGCCACACTCCACTGTTGTGTGGCCACTGTCCTTCACTGTTGTGTGGCCACACTCCTTCACTGTGGTGTGGCCACTCTCCTTGACTGTGGTGTGGCCACTCTCCTTGACTGTGGTGTGGCCACTCTCCTTGACTGTGGTGTGGCCACTCTCCTTCACTGTGGTGTGGTCACTGTCCTTCACTGTGGTGTGGCCACTCTCCTTCACTGTGATGTGGCCACTCTCCACTGTTGTGTGGCCACTCTCCTTCACTGTGGTGTGGCCACACTCCTTCACTGTGGTGTGGCCACACTCCTTCACTGTGGTGTGGCCACACTCCTTCACTGTTGTGTGGCCACTCTCCTTCACTGTTGTGTGGCCACACTCCTTCACTGTGGTGTGGCCACACTCCACTGTTGTGTGGCCACTGTCCTTCACTGTTGTGTGGCCACACTCCTTCACTGTTGTGTGGCCACACTCCTTCACTGTGGTGTGGCCACTCTCCTTCACTGTGGTGTGGCCACTCTCCTTCACTGTGGTGTGGCCACTCTCCTTCACTGTGGTATGGTCGCTTACACTCCTGCTTCAGCGTTGTGGTTGCTTACAATCCTGTTATCGTGTGTTGTGGTGACTGGTGGGAGCGTCCGTGTGCTGTGCTCGCTTGCGCCATTGTTTCAACAGAATAATGTCACTGCTGTTACCCCGTGTCAGCATGTCTTTCACTGTTACACACACCCATCACGTGCACTGTTTACCTTGAGTAATTCAGTAACTCTGAACATCACTGTTTTCTTCAGGGCTACAGCGCCACATCAGTGTCATGACACTGTGCTTAGAAGGCGTTTCAAAACAAGAATTACGGCTTTTGTTACGTTCGGGCGAGTTTCTCCGTGGTTCACTGCGCAGTCTGAGTAGGTGAACCCAAGCCATCTGCATATAGAGAGCCTCGGATGGCAGCCCCTAAACCTGCTTACGTCGGCCAGGAAAAAGTTGGCGGCGCAGTAGGTATTGGATGTCCGGGGAAATACTACACACACTAATGGGCTCCGTGCTGGGAAGTCGGCGATAAGGTATGGTGCGTGTTGACGACACTTGTGTACTTACCTAACAGTACACCTGTGTACTTACCCAATAGTACACCTGTGTACTTATCTACGAGTGACTATTGGGAAGCGAGGTCTAGCTCTATATGCCCCGCCGACTACCCTTGTTCTAACCGACGAGTTACAATTTACACTTCCTGACATTCAAATTGTTTGCCGAAACTGGCTTTTAAAAGTTGTGGATGGAGGTGGCTTCTTTGGCTTCTTCTTCCAGTGTATTTTACTTGCTGACCGCCCGTTTAATACACAAGTATTTCCCTACATTCTTTCAACTCACTCGCGGTTTTAGCTTAAATTTATCTCCTGTCCGACTTTCTTTCAATTTAAAGACGTTGTCGTTGTCTATTGTCCTTGATATCTTGAATGTTGTTATCATAATTCCCTCTGTTTCCTCTGGCCTCTAGGGATGAGATTTAGTTTCCTTGCACACATTGCACACCTTGCACACATTGCACACCTTGCACACATTGCACACCTTGCACACATTGCACACCTTGCACACCTTGCACACATTGCACATCTTGCACACCGTGCACACATTGCACACCTTGCACACATTGCACACCTTGCACACCTTGCACACATTGCACACCTTGCACACATTGCACATCTTGCACACCGTGCACACATTGCACACATTGCACACCTTGCACACATTGCACACCTTGCACACATTGCACATCTTGCACACCGTGCACACATTGCACACATTGCAGAAAGTTTCAAAAATGAAAATTCCTGACGGTTACAGCTTGTTATTATTGACCAAATTGATGAAGATGAAAGAATTCGTTTAACAATTTCGTTTTCAGTGTTAAAAGTGACGTTCCATCTGTCTGGTAACGTTAACATACACAACTGCCTTATATGGGCAGCAGAAAATCCGCATGAATTAATTAAAGACAAAGGCGACTGTCCCAAGAACACTGAAGACTACTGTTTACCTCCATGAATGTTGTGCTCGTGCTCAGCTGGAGCACACGCGGTGCTCACCCAGTGAGCTGATACACTGATAAACACTCCGTCGTCGCCACACATTATAATATAAAAAAACTAGAAATACGACTAAAATAAAACAACTAGGCTAACGAATTCAATAGACATTAAATAAACAAATGTATTAATAAATTTGTCAATAAATGAAAGTGGCGCCGGTGGGGCTGGTCCCCGGGAAGAGGCGGGCCGCCTCAACACTCAGGCGCCAACACATATATGCTACATATTGAAACATGCAGATAAATACTGTTTTAGATCAAATGGACCGACAAATTGTACTTGTATTAATACTACACAAGTGCAACAGTAGATAACAAGTAATGTAATACAAGAGCTTGTCATTACTCACAAAACATCACACACCTGGCAAATCTCGGTTTGGCGCTCCCCCCCCCCACAAGCATTCGAGACAAACAACAGTAAACAAATGCAATATTTCGTAAACAAACGAACTTGTGATCACTGCAATAAATACTTAAAAGACGCAAACAACGGGAATTACATGTTACATATACAAGAAAAGATTGGACTCGTCTTGCAGAGAAGTGAGCAGCACCAGGAGCCGGGAGCCGGGAGCCGGGAGCCACACTTCCGCCACGCACCAACCATCTGCCACCTTGGGTGACATTACAACAACAATTAGATACCAAGACTCATGACCGAAAATTATCACTCGGTGAAAGCCTAGCAGCCATCTTGAGATGATTTCGGGACTTAGTGTCCCCGCGGCCCGGTCCTCGACCAAGCCTCCACCCCCAGGAAGCAACCCGTGACAGCTAACTCCCAGGTACCTATTTACTGCTAGGTAACAGGGGAATCAGGGTGAAAGAAACTCTGCCTATCATTTCTCGCCGGCGCCCGGGATCGAACCACAGGATCACGCGTCCAGTGTTCTGTCCGCTCAGCCGCCGGTCCCATGAGGGAAGAGCGGGAACAGATAGTACTGGTGCAGGAGCTGAGGCTGTCGACAGGAAGCAAACTGCAGTACAACGTCACGAATTGTAAAAAAAAATTGATTCGTAACGCCCGGATAAATATGGCACTATAGACAGGAAAGCGTAATACAGACAGCACTGACAGCTCGATACGTACAGACATTACAACAAACATCGACAGAGAGAAAGACCAGAAAGACAGACATGCAAATTCTATGCAAAGGGCATTTGCAGACATGGATATTCTACAAAGAGAAAGGGATCAGAACGCAGTTACCCTCATCCCAGAAAATGTTTAAATCTACTCAAGAAGGGAAAATGTCGTTCGGGATTAACATGCAGGTGTTTCCATCCCGACGTGTGCCAAACCTCGCTCACGTCAACGCTCCAGGAAAGAAACTGTTGATTTCAGCTGCCCAGACTTTGACGTGAAAGGCACAGAACGATACACAAAGAGTGCCAAATGGGAAAATGCCTTAGAAGAAAAGTTAAATAATTTTTCTGATCCAGAAGAAAAAGGTTTCAAAACGTGGAACAGTAGGAAGAGAAGGGGAATTATCAGGGAAAGCGTTAAGCCATTACGACTAAATAACATTTGGAAGGGGTCAGGATAAGGATTTGGGATGGGACGGGGGGAAGGAATGGTGCCCAACCACTTCGACGGTCGGGGACTGAATGCCGACCCGCATGATGGGGGACCATCGCTCTACCGTCCAGCCCAAGTGGTTGGACAAAGAGAGTGTATGGTATTGGGTATGTATTTATGGCAGCTCGTATGGCATGGTATAGTATGGGAGTGCATTGCGATCATCTCAAAGCTCTCCAAATGTACTCAATAGAAAGGAGACGAGAGAGATATCAAATAACATACACGTGGAAGATACTGGAGGAACACGTCCCAAATCTACACAGTAAAATAACAACGTACTGGAGTGAAGGATATGGAAGAAAATGCAGAAGAGAACCAGTAAAGAGCAGAGGTGCCATAGGCACAATCAGAGAACACCATAATATTTCTAGATGTGATAGGGTAAATAGGTCACATGGAGGAGTGGGTCTATATATTAGGGAAGACCTTGGATGCTCGGAGCTCCTTAACTCTACAAATAAAGTGGTAGAATTACTGGGAGTAAAAATAGAGAAAATAATCCTAGTTATTATTCTAATATACGAACCGCCAGATGTAACGAGTGAGATACTTACAGAACAGATAAACAAAATAGAGAATAACCTCGATAATCTGACAAACCCAATACCAGACATAATCTTCCTCAGAGACCTCAACTTACCCAGTTTAAGGAGGAGAATAGTAAACAATAATATTATACCACGAAATTAATCTGGAAGTAACAGTAGCAAGTCAAAAACTACTTAGATTCTATATAGAATAACGGGAGCTGTGCTGGACACACTAGGTATATATTGACACCTTAATGACGCACTGAAGGGGACAGGGATACCGGACAACTAAGGGCACTAGGTCAAAGGAGGCGAGCAGAAAGGTAGGTCCAGTACCACGTCGGCAGGTACCATTAATACACAACGGGACGACAATTTGAAAACATTTCTATAATCACTTTAGGAATACAATCCCTAACTATATTTCCCTAATCGAAGGGAAGTGAATTGAATGATATAAGGTGATGGGTAGAAGAGAACCGTATTTCCACAGTGATTTCCACTTGGCCTTAAGGTGCTTGATGTTCCTCCCCGTAGAATGTTGGATCATACTTCAGTACACCCCCCACAGTCTTCCCTGTTAAGGTGCTTGATGTTCCTCCCCGTAGAATGTTGGATCATACTTCAGTACACCCCCCACAGTCTTCCCTGTTAAGGTGCTTGATGTTCCTCCCCGTAGAATGTTGGATCATACTTCAGTACACCCCCCACAGTCTTCCCTGTCTGAGCTTCATCTTATATACAGTTGTTAGGGGCATGTGAGATCCTCGGCCTCTAGTGACGTGGAAGTAGTAATCCTCATGGGTTATTATGGCAGCATCATAACTGACAACCTCGTGACTTCCTTCACTGTTATCCCGAGTTCACCTGCCTCCCTCCTCCCCTTTGGTTAGCGCCTGAGGTGTGAGCTTCCACTGTGTACACAGCCGGCTGGTAAGCGACCAACCGTTCCAACTGTTGCTGTTCTTCTGGTGCGTTGTGTACTGCTCTCTTGTTACAATGCCCATGCACTCAGCTCCGGGTTCAGACTCATGGAATTCAATATTTATAAAGAAATGCAAAGTGCCAGTAGTACAGGCACTCAGTATAGTGTGGAGGAAGAGCTTGGACACGGGGGGAGGTACCAGATGTGCTTAAATCTCCAAAGTGTCACAAAGGAAGGAGCAAAGTATGGTTAATAATTACAGACCAGTTGCACTAACGTCCCACATAATATGTTTTGTGAGAGTGATCAGGAATCAGGTCTTCAGGTTTATGAAGACTAATGATCTCCACAAGCCAAGTCAACGTGGATTTATGACGGGAAGATCGTGCCTTTCGCAGCTACTCAACCACTGTGACTAAATCATTGATGTATTAGAGGAGAAACAGAATGCGAATGTGCATACACGGACTTTTCAAAGGCATTTGATATTTGCAAAGGCATGCATTGAGCGATAGCCCATAAAATGAGGTCAGCACAAGAAGTCCCGGAATCCCATCCCAGCGCAAGGTGGGGCGTCGTCTCACTGGGGGTGAAGGTAACTTAAGGTGAAAGCACTAAGCCATTACAGGTGAAAGCACTAAGCCATTACAACTTTATAACGCTGGGAAAAAGTCACAATAAGGATTTGGGATGGGACCGGGGAGGGAAGGGGGGAAGAGAGAATGGTGCCCAACCACCTGGATGGTCGGGGATTGAGCGCCGACCTGCGAGAAGCCAGTCGTTCTACCGTCC